CCCGATAATCGTCAACACAACTTCAAGTCAGGAGATACGTAAAGGATCGAGTCTCACTCTCTATTGTAATGTTGAAGCTCAGGGTGAAGACATCAATGTGACTTGGCATAAAGTTGGAGGTGGTCAAGTATCCGGTAGTGGTGTATATACCATACCATCTGTTACACATGCTGATTCAGGTTYATACGAATGCAGAGCTAAGACTGGTAACGAGTGTGAAGTGAAAAGTACCATGATAACACTCGCTGTGATTTGTAAGTATTTTATGCATTATTTCTACTGAAATATCCTACTTTATCAATAACATACTTAAATATTTACGTTTTCCCCAGGGAACTAGTGATGCTGGAAAATAACAAATATATATACGAACTTTCTCAGTAGTAAAAATATAATTCAGTGCATACATTTTATGAGCATTTACTTGCATAGTGGAATAATTCTGTTATCTGTTACAAACATTGCGTGCGTGGGCAATTAGCAAAACATTTTTAATTTGTTTAATACAGTTCTATTTACCTCATTGAACAGTCGAKCAGCTTCCAGTGACAACAACATCAATGCGACGAAAATGTCTGTCACCTGAAGTACCACATTTTATCTAAATAAGTTTATGTGAATGGAGTATGCCAGAAAGCGAAATTACTATTTCTTGTAGTTTACAAAAATTTTCCAAAACTAGGTTTTCGGAATTAATATATTATATATTAAGCATTGCCGTTGGTTCTACATCTTATCTCTGGAGCGTTTATACAGTCGAGCGTAAATCTTACTCTTCGACGTCTTTTGACATACTGAAATTCCTTTATCAATGCAAAGGCATTACTAAGGTGTTTCAGATTGAAAAAATATTTACTGGAATGTGTATTTTTCAAACTACATCTCAGTGAATATGATCGATCAGTTGGGCAAACACCTAGATATTTACCAGGGACCGGTTGTGCGAAAGGCGAATAGCGCTATCCAACAACGGATAAATCCTTATCCTGTGGATAAGTCGATGCTGTTATCCAATAAATTTATATATCCATCGGAAAGCGCTATCCACCCTTCGTACAACCGGGCCCAGGGTAATATTCAGATACGTTAACCCATCAGTTTAATTGTATCGATGATGATGAGGATGGTGATGATGATAATGATGACGATTAGTATTTAACATTATTATTGCTGTTGTCATTGYTAATATTACTTATCCTTTTTATTGATTTTTCCTTAATAGTATTATAAGTACAATTTTAGACTTGAATAAAGAGTTTTTCGCGCTGTGATTGGTCGAGCGACCGGTGATTATGAGACGATATTCACTGCTCGAGCGGTGATTATAAGGCTTTTCAAATTCTGCAAGAAAGGAAGTAATACTAAAACGCTTTTTAGTAACGTGAATTTTGTCKTTTCTTTGATTTTCAAGTCTAAAATTATACTAAAACAATTATACCCCTTCGGGCTCAGTGATTATGGTGAATATTTACCTCACCCCTCGAAGACTCGCKKATMGGTAAATATTAACGGATAATCACTTCACCTTCGGCGAATAATTGTTAAGGTATTAGATAATTATTGGATCTCGATATTGATGATACTTAGTTATTGGTATTGTTCCCATTATCACTTTTATGGTTTCATTCGTTGGTGTTGTCGTTGTTATGTTATCCGTATTATCATTATTATCATTATCATCATCATCTTCATAATTATTATTATTACTATTATAATTATACAGCTTCTCATTAATCCCATATACGTAACTGTCCAATTATTTTCTTAATTGGACAGGTCTTGTTGATATGGGATAAATTAGGCAGCTATATAATTAATAGGTAATGGGATTTCATGCTCCCCAATCAAGAAATAATTAGACTCGAAAAATTCCTCTGACTGCCAAATTGGACTCGGCCTACGGCCTCATCCAATTTCGTCAGTCCTCGGAATTTTCCTCGTCCAATTATTTCTTAGAGTCCTATGGAGTCCTATTACATATACTTATTGTATTAGTGTTATTTCTATGATAATATAACTCAAATATAACTTTAGAAAGAATAACACAAATAATCTAAACAGATCGGTGCTAGAATTGAAATATGATTGTTCAGGCCCTTCCCTTTTGTTTTGCCGCAGGGATTCTGAAATATTTTTTCCTTGAAGGTTTTTATTTGCTTTGCTTTTCCTTTTTAAGTGCCTTTTATTTCTTTTGTTGTGCTTTGTTTTCYTTTCTGTTTGGACAGATAAAGACAGCCTTACCACGAGTAAAAGTACTACAACAAGAAAATGGATGGTAAAAAATTTCAAAATGTCGGGATAGTCGTTTTATTTAGTTATTTTCATTGTTATTATCTTTTGATCGTTGTTATATTATTCTAATATTAAAATAAAAGCGTACAACTTATGAGATTACAAATTTTAAACTTATATGAAGTAACATCAGCTTTAGTGCCTTRAATGTTTAGTCTGTCCCTATGGAATTCCTGCTACCTGTCATACGTTTTAGGCCACGTACGGTTTTCGTTAATAAAAAAAAATTGTTAGTCCATGTGTACCACTTTTAGCGTTATGGCAATATGCCAACATTTCAACATTTCAACAATTCATTATTTTCTAGATGTCCAACAGCGTTTATTATTCCGTATCAATAATAATATGGCATGGTTGTTGAGCGTGACCGTGTCTGACGGACCAGAAAAAATATTCATAAAACAGCTGATATTCTGTCTCTTCTTGCCGTGATTCACTTGTCCTGATGAAGATGAAGCTTGGATTTCTTTTCTTCATCCTTGTGCAGCTTAGCATATTTTCTTCAAGCGGTAAGAAAACTGTTTTAGTATTCTAAAGAAACTATATAAAGAAGCTTTGAACTATATCTGAATCATGCTTTGTTTGTTTCCGGGTGATTCTTTCGCTTAATGCGTCAGAAAATGGAAGCGAGAAATATGTGGCAAATAAACTATGAGTAAAACTTAGAAGATCCTAAAAATTGCCAATTTGTACTTGCATCATTTGACTTTGGTCATTGGTGGATACCAGCTCTATTAGATAGAATGTAATAACAGAGAGGGAAAGGAAGATACCATTGCATTGTGTGTAGGCTATCTGGGTAGGATTATTGGAAAACCCTTGCACGCGGCTGATACTGCCTGCCCTACACATGCGCATAAAGAATGGAGAATTCTAAAGTGGATTTTCCAAGAGACTCGTTTTTCGGTGTTTTAATAAGTTTGGTTTCAATAATTATAGTGTCGGTTTGGCGTTCGTTTACCGAGTTAAAATAATAAAAATGAAGGCAGTAATATGATGCCTCGAGCTGTAAAATAAACAAGCAGTGAACATACATCGATCACAAAATATGCTGTCTTGGGTGAACTAAACGACCAATTCAGATTTTCATATCTTGTACACCTATATATAAAAAAACCGTTGTCGGTCGCAGATCAATGGGCCTATATCACACGGCGGCCATGTTTATCCTTATGAGAATAAAAACCTTTGTTTCACCTGCATAAATTAATTCTCAAGCACTTGAATTTGAGGCTACGCGTGGTGGAATTTATTGTTCAATCCAACATGGCTGCCGCGTGAATAAGGCCCTTATTGATAGGGCGTTTGCATGATGGCGCAATTGACCTCCACTACCAGACTCCCTTGCACACTTTCTTCTGTTCAATTAATAAGCACCAATTGTCTCACTATTCTCATGAGGGAATACAAATTTAAATGAGAAAGAAAATTCACGAAGCATCTTGGTAGTGGGAGTCAAATGACGCCATCATGCAAACTTCCTATTTGAAATTTAAAATCTCAGACAGGAAATGAATTGTGGCCTGTGAGCTGTAAATTTATTGAACACAAAGGAAAAGCGAAAGTGGTAATAGTCCACTTCCGATATATGCTTGGCTTGTTATACACAACGTTTCAATGTGAGGCTTCGTGCGTAATGCTTAGTGATTTGTGACAAGAGAAAAAATAAATTTAATTTAGCGCGTAGCCTCGTGCTGAATTCTTTGTGCGTGACAGGTGAAGCATATCTCGGAAGTGGTCTATTTATCAATTAGACAATAGAAATTTGCGCGCCCATGACGTTATAGACACACGAGAGAAAAGCGTTAAGAGTGTCGCGAGATCAGTGTGCGCGAGCGTGCAGCCCATGGGGAAATAGTTCATTGGTTTTTGGCCAATCAGAGCGCGCGTAATAATCTAGTTATATTATAAATGAAGATATGGTATGACATCGAAGATATTTTCTATCCTGAGATAGTATAATAGTAGATTGATATAAATTCATTGCCAGCTGCACGTCGTCACGTGATCTTTATTATCCAGTAACTAGAACTTTCTTCTCTTATTATTGTTGCAAGCAGTTGGGCGAACGCTGGTTTCTTATAACGCGGAGTAAACCCAGAATTACAATATCTTGAGAGAAAATATCTATCAAATGCAATATATAACAGCGGATTTCAAATCATCTCTTTCTTCGTGATTTTTGTTAAACATTTGTATGCCCCATGGCCTCTATATATCGCCTTCACAACTTTGTTGTTGTTGGCTTCTTGTTTCTTCTACATTCGAAAGGTTCGTTCGTTGTCATCAATATGTAGTCGTTTATTTACTACAAATTTTGCTCTTTTTTTTTTTTTTTTACGAAAGTATTGCTGATTAAACTTTTGAATTTTGTAAATATATAGTGGATGCATCGGTCGTTTGGAGGAGACAACCAACCTCGGCTACCGGGATTCAAGGCCAAAGCGTCAGCATGACTTGGACTGCTGATCTAGCTTCGGGTGTAGAATGGAATTTTGTTAAAGTGTACCAGAAAGTAGGTATAGGAAAAAAACAGATGTTAAGGCAACACAAGACAGAAGGGATAAAAGTTTATCCTGAATATACGAGCCGAGATGCGGATCTGAATCTAACTGCTTCTCAGTCTGGTACTTTACTGACAACGGAGTTTACAATAAATAACCTGAACCGATCGACAGATGAGCATTTGTACTATCTGCGAATAGACTATGAAACTAGTCCAAGCGACAGCGATAGCGATGATTCAATTGACTTGTCTCTCACAATCCTTGGTAAGTACTTTCTAATACTTTTAATCACAAACTTTGGTCCATCCGTTACTTAGATTATATATTGTTAAGGCTCTAAATTATTTTATATGGATAAAACACTTAGCTCATGGACCGTTAAATTTTATAAAACCGTATGGTTTTACATAACAGAAGTACTGACTCTACTGACAACGGTGTTTACATTGAAAAACCCGGTCGATTGATGAGCGCATACCTATAGTATACTATATGCGAGTAGATCATACTGCTAATGAAGGAGACAGTTGATGTTTCACTCACAGTCCTCGGTAAGTCATACACGTACGTCAAAACGTGATTACAGAAGCCGCTGATTAAGGCTTGAACTAAAAACAGGCGGTTCAGTTCATGTTATCACCCTTGCAAAGTTGTGCTAGGGAACGTCTTACAATTGATAGTATTCGAAGAAAGAAGCAAATAAAAACTAAAGCCAGAGTACAGGAAAAAAATAGAGAAAAGTTCCAAACGACAAAAATTGTATTCTAAACCTTTATGTATATAATCTTACTGTTTTGTAGTTTTACTCCCTTTAAGACTAGCTAAGCCGGTTAAACGTCGAAATTCACGTGAGCCGAACCTAATGACATCTAAGACCGCCTTGTTATCCATTTTTTAAGTAGTTTCGGCTCAATGTGAAGTTCAACATTTGATCTGAGCCTCACCTTCCAGAGCTAAAAAAAAAAAAAAAGGTAAAGTCTATTTGGGGTACTTCGAAATTGCAGGATGTGGCTGCCCAATTCTCCCGAGCCAGGATTATTAATTTGTATAGCTTTATTTTCTTCAAAGTCAAGGACGCTTAACAGAGATTACAAAAGAAATCGTATTATAATTACTAATGAAAGAAGGTGTTAAAGCGTTCGAAGGCGCGCCCTTTTTACGAGTATTTAAAGCTAAATCTACAAATAACGGAGAGAAGTGAGTCGAAGCAGACGTTGGTAGATCCCGAATATCCAGCCGTGCATCTGTAGCTCTTTAAGGCCGCGCACTAATCATATTTTTTTAAATTTCTAAGGAGGAAAGGAAAACTTTCTTTTTTGTGTTTAAGGTACCGTGTCGATGATTCCAATTTTATCGTTTTTGCATGTTCTAGTGCCTACCACAATAACCAGTCCAAACCCAACTACTGTCACTGTTAACCAATCAAAGCCTGCACAACTTGAATGTACTGCAACTGGTAACCCCGCACCCAGTATTAACTGGACAAGAAATGGCGTGATCGTTGGCACAGGAAGCCCATACACTACACCACCGGTTACACCTAACGACGACAAGGCGTGTTACTATACTTGTGTAGCTTATAATGGAATCCTTGATGCCAAGACCGCTAACTTCTGTCTAAGCGTTCAATGTAAGTATAGACATTTTTAAGGCAAACTATCAAAGTAACCAATCACTTTTGTGTAAACTTTACAAGAACAAGGTCTTTTTCGAATCATTTAGAAATTATAATTAGTTACTTTAGGAATTTTCTTTTCCCCCCCCTTTTTTCCATACTTAATTTATTTTTCTTTTTTCTTATTCCTTGTTTGTTTGCGATGAATGCACAATTTCATGTAAAATCAGATAAAAGTTCGTCCTCTGCACGAATTCGTATTGAATTGCACGTACTATCAAGGTTAAACTTTAATGACGAAGTTCCATTTCTAGACAAACCGAAAAACGCAACAATTTTGAGTGACAGATCAACAGTTTGTCAGAATGATAAGGTGAATCTGACCTGTACATCAGGACCAGCCAACCCAGCACCCAGCAGCTACGAGTTTTATGACAATGGTGTTCTTATTGGAACCAGTGCATCCAACGTTTATGAAGTTAAGGCTACTGCAGGCTTACCATCTGTAAACGAGTTTGTTTGTGTACCAAGAAATCATCTGGGAACCTCCTTGGAAAATGGAAGTGTGGAAGTGACTGCAAAAGGTAGTTTTATAATATTTCTTTTAATTTCCGAAGAACAAATAATCTTCAATAAATCCGACGAGCAAAAGAGTAGTGTTTAGATCGCTAAGTTGAGACATGTCTGTCGTATATACATTTGATTTTTGATAAACTTTAGTTTTTGTACCAATTGTCGAAATTTTTACAGCTGAGCTAATGTTTTCTATTGATAACTTCCAAATAAGTTACACGAAAGAGACTTCTGATAGAAGTTTATCATATTAGACGTTTTTCACAGGACGGCTAAATAGCTGATTATCTCTTAACTAGCTATAACTACAGCTTTTTCAAAGCAGATTTATTACAATTCATCTATCTTTAATAGCGTGTTATCATTTTTATTATTTTATTTTTCACTTTTTAGTGGCGCCAGCAATAGTTACGTCACCTCTCTCCACGACTCTTTTGGAGGGAAGTTCTTTAAGATTATTTTGCAATGCCTCTGGAGTACCTGCACCAGACATCACGTGGACCAAGCTTGGCGGAGGCATTGTTGGCAGTACTGAGACATTTACCATAAGTAGCATCACGAGAGGAGACGAAGGGTCCTACAGATGCACAGCAAACAACAGCAATGAGTGCAGCAATGTCACTGCTGACGCAGATGTTGTTGTAAACTGTAAGTCTTTCTATACAATTGTCTATTACATATGATATAAAAAAAATTATATGAATGAATTCTACTTGATTCAAACCTGCTTCATAGAAGATTAATACCGGGCAATGATGTGCAATGAAGTTGTGAGCTTGTTCACCGGTATATTCAGTCATGCAATTTTGTAATCACGAGCATTATTTCAAATTGAATTTTCCATTAACATCATTGATTAATTATTTTTATGTACGCCAGAAAGTACTAGTATACAGCCAACATGATTACAAAGATTCCCTCCCTTAGCACCTAAAATATTATTGTCAAGGCATTTTGAGAATATTGCTATCAAGACCTTTTAATAACATTTCATTCTATCTCATCCCTTTCTAGACAAACCAGAACTCACGAC